GGGAAACAAGAGCAAAACTCCGTCTAAAAAAAAAAAAAAAAAAAAAACTTCTTTCCAATAAAGACTAAAAAAAATAATAAATAAATAAATAAATAAATAATTACATAATTATTCCACCTTCTTGACATCATCTAATTCAGAGCAAAGTTGTACTTTCTTAAATCTTCCCCAAATTCACTAACACATTTCTAAATCCTGTAATAACTCCTCTTTAACACTCTCTTACTAAGACACTCCATAGTTCTCTACACTATGTGTTTTTTTTTCAATGCAGTGATTAATAAGCACAACTTATTCAATTGGTAATCTACGGCTGGAGGGCATTGATAGAACAAAATTATTTCTTATCAAATATGCATTTTCATTTATCAGTATACAGATATCAAGTATAATATTTAATACTTTTACTACTTTATTTCTCATGATATATTTGTGTGCTCAAAATATTAAAATGTTTATTATACAGCTTAATAATTTTGCATCATACCTATTGCTATAGATTGCTGAGCTGGAAGCCTGACAGGTTTAGGATGTAAATATGAACAACCACACATTATAACTAGAGTTTTAAAAAACCTAAATAACTATAGTTGATATATAAATATCAACCTAAATAATTCATATTATGAAGAAATGACTGGTAATTTAGAAAGCTAAGTAGTATAGCTGGATTTATCAGAACCAATAAAATAATTTATATTGTTTTATTTTTATTTTTTTATTTGAACTTTTATTTTAGATACATGTAGTTACCTGTGCAGGTTTGTTACATAGGTATATTGTAACCCAGTGGTAAGCACAGTACCCAATGGGTAGTTTTTTAACCCATGCCCACTTTACTCCCTCCCTACTCTAGTAGTTTGCAGTGTTCATTGTTCCTATGTTTATGTCCATGTATGCGCTATGTTTAGCTCCCTCTTATAAGTGAAAATATATGGTATTTGGTTTTCTGTTCCTGTACCAATTTGCTTAGGAATGTGGCCTCTGGTTCCATCTAGGTTGTTTCAAAAGACATAATTTCATTCTTTTCATGGCTGTATAGTATTCCATGGTGTATATGTACCATATTTTCTTCATCCAATCCACCTTGATGAGCCACTAGGTTGATCTCTTGGCTATTGTGAATAGTACAGAGATGAATATACTAGTGCAGGTGTCTTTTTGGTGGAATGACCTGTTTTCTTTTGGATATATACCCAGTAATTGGATTGCTGGTTCTAATGGTAGCTATGTTTTAAGTTCTTTGAGAAATTTCCATACTGTTTTCCATAGTGACTGAACTAATTTATATTCCCATCAACAGTGTATAAGCATTCCCTTTTCTCCACAGCCATGCCAGTATCTGTTTTTGGATTTTATACTAGCCATTCTGACTGGTGTGAGATGGTATCTCATTCTGGTTTTGATCTGCATTTCTCTGACAATTAGTGGTGTGAAGCATTTTTTTCATGTTTGTTGGCCATTTGTGTGTCCTGTTTTGAGAATTGTCTGTTCATGTTCTTGGCCACTTTTTTTTTTTTTTGGGGGGGGGGGGGGACGGAGTTTCGCTCTTGTTACCCAGGCTGGAGTGCAATGGCGCAATCTCGGCTCACCGCAACCTCCGCCTCCTGGGTTCAGACAATTCTCCTGCCTCAGCCTCCTGAGTAGCTGGGATTACAGGCACGCGCCACCATGCCCAGCTAATTTTTTGTATTTTTAGTAGAGACGGGGTTTCACCGTGTTGACCAGGATGGTCTCGATCTCTTGACCTCGTGATCCACCCGCCTCGGCCTCCCAAAGTGCTGGGATTACAGGCTTGAGCCACCGCTCCCGGCTCTTTGCCACTTTTTAATGGGGCTACTTGTTTTTTGCTTGCTGATTTGTTGAAGTTTCTTGTAGAATCTGCTTACTAGAACTCTGTCAGATGCATAGTTTGTGAATATTTTCTCCCATTCTGTAGGTTTTCTATTTACGCTGTTGATATTTTGCTGTGCAGAAGTTATTTAGTTTAATTAGGTCCCACTTGTCAAATTTTTTTTTCTTGTTGCAATTGCTTTTGTGGACTTAGTGAAAAATTATTCGCCAAGGTTGATGTCAAAAAGGGCATTTACTAGGTTTTCTTTTTGGGGTTTTATAGTTTGAGGTCTTACATTTAAACTTTAAATTCAATCTGAATTACTTTTTGTATATGGTGAAAGGGAAGGATCCAGTTTCATACTTTCACATACGGCACACAGTTACATGTGCTAACCAGTTATGCCAGCACCATTTATTGAGTAGGGAGTTATTTCCCTATTGCCTGTTTTTGTTGGCTTTAGTATTCCTCAGGTAGAAAGCAAAAATTCGAGAATCAATATTCTATGTATTCAGGAGATAAGAAAACAGAACAATATTCTCAGATGCAACAGCAATAACAAAAAACCAAGCGACTAAGGATAAAATCAACAAGAAATACTAGAAAAATACTTGATGCAAATTTAAAGAAAAATGATCACATTTTATAAAGATGAATGGAGACATGTGAGAGGAGTGGATATTAGTTTGTTGCAACAAATTCAAAGAAAATACAAATTCAAACTAAATATTTAAGTAATGTTTCTGGAGTGTAATGATTAGTTTTCAGGTGTAATAATCAGTTTCTAAAATAAATAAATACCAAAATCATTTTAAAAACAAAAGTCATAAAAAAAAATAAAGCCTTCCAGAGCTAAAACAAAATGTAAATCAGCAAAATTCAGCATGATATTATAGCAGGAGTAGTCATAAGAGATGGAATAGAATCAAAGTGTCAATGATACACCATGATTCACAAAAAGTTAACAATGTCCCTGCTCCCGTAGATGTCCATGTACCCTAATGGAATGGATGAATATGTTACCCTGAGGTGTATATTTAATATATTCTAACTTTGTTTTAAAGATCATACATGCAATATATATATGCATATATATGTTGCATGAATATTCAATAACCTGAAAATGAAAGTATCCCACATAATAGTACTTGAAAAATCAAGTGTTTATGACTGGTTAAAGCAACCTTGTTTTCCCTATTCTTTTTTTTCTTTTTTTTTTTTTTGAGGCAGAGTCTTGCTCTGTCACCCAGGCTGGACTGCAGTGGCACAATCTTGGCTCACTGCAACTAACTTCCGCCTCTTGGGTTCAAGTGATTCTCCTGCCTCAGTCTCTCAAGTAGCTGGGCTTACAGGTGCCCGCCACCACAACTGTCTAACTTTTTTTGTATTTTTAGTAGAGACAGTGTTTCACCATATTGGCCAGACTGGTCTCGAACTCCAGATCTCGTGATGCACCCACCTCGGCCTCCCAAAGTGCTAGGATTACAGGCGTAAGTCAGCACGCCCAGCCTCTTCTTTCTACATGACTGTATTCCCTGAATTTTCTTTAATATACATATCTTTTGAAAGACATTTTTTTATAAGACATTTTCTAATTCTTAATATGCTTAGGAATCTGCGATAAAAACATCAATGTGAAGATTTATGAAACTCCCAGGGCACTTTCAGAGTGAGATACCACCCTAAATTTATCATAGTTTTGGTCTATCCCAAGGTGAAAAGGTGTAAGTGATGGCATCTACACTACTCAACCCCATTTAAGTATTTAGTAAAAATTATTGCCTATAGACTCTAATTATTGTTGTTTTACTTATTACTTTTGCCCAACTTTCCATTTTCAAACTTTATGAATCATTTGACTTAGGTATGCAAACACATGCAATTGGTATTATTGGTAGATTTACATATACTTGTATTAATATTACTATGAATTTTCTTATCTCTATCATTATTTGACACCAATCTTCCATATTGTTTTTATTTTGTGTAAACCTTTATGTGTACAAGAAATTTTGTCCTTCATTGTAGCAGTTGCTTTAGTACGATATTCTGACACCTTTTCTTTTAAGCAATATTGAATTTTTTACTATAAGTAAATTATTATTGACATTCTTTTTTCCTGATTTTCCTCTCCTACATATCTATTTTAATCAATAGGATTATTTTTCTTTATGTTTACTTTTATGTGAATAAATATGCTAATATCTCTAAAACTTGATTTGTGAGCTATCATATAAGAGGAAAACAACGAGGTTATTCTACTGCTCACCTTTTTCCTCCCATTCCTGGCCCTAACCCCCATTACATACTTATACAATTTCTACACTTACCTGGACATATATCATCAGTGACTCTTACGTACACCTTTATTTTGTCTTAGATTTGCATTAAAATACATTCAGACATTTTGCTGAAATGTGCCTCAGTGATTTTTAGTTTGGGTGAAATCATCTAGTTGTTTCCTAAAGGAGGGCTCATGAGAACAATAGAGAACAATAGCCTGTGAGTTCTTACCTGTTCAAAGTTATTCGGTTGTAGCTTTCGTACTGCAAGCACTACTTGATACGATATAAAACACATGGTTCCTATCATTCCCTAAGAGATATTACAAATGTTATTGTGCTTTGATTACTTATTAGAAGTGTAGAGAGGAGATTTGGATCTATGTTGCCTATGGGTTTGTCCCAAGCTTTGTACAGAAATTTTTAATTTAATATTAGATTGGTTCAAAATTAATTGTGGTTTTTGCCATTGCTTTTAATAACTTTTATTCCAAATAATAAACCTATCTCTAATAGAAAAGTCACAAACAAAATCTACGCTTTGGTTAAGTCTACTTTTCTCTGAGAAATGGCTGTACACTGTGCTAACCGAAGCCATACAAGAGAAATGTTTAGAGGATGTTGACTAAATTCATGTTGATTTTCCCATATTTATATATTTAGCATAAAAGAGCATTATAAAAAGTGCCTCAGTTGT